TTTTCCTAGCAGTCCATGGTATTCTCAATACTCTTCTCCAGCACCACAGCTCAAAGGCATCAATTCTTCTTCTATCCTCCCTGGTCATTGTCCAACTCTCTGATGCATAACAAGTGATTGCGAAAACCATGTCCTGTATCAGATGCACCTTAGTCTCCAGAGAGACACCATTGCTCTTCAGTACTTTGGCGAGGTCCCTAACAGCAGGCTTTCCCATGGCAATGCTCCTTCTAATTTCCTGGTTACTGGTGTCAAGAGTGTTGACTGTGAAGCCAAGCAAACGAAAGCTGTGTACAATCTCAATCTCTTCACCATCCATCCTGATGCTGCCAATTGGTCCAGTAGTGAGAATCTTTGTCTTCTTGACATTGAGCCTCAATCCATATTATAGGCTGCAGTCCTTGGCGCTCTGCAGCAGGTGCTTCAGGTCCTCTTCAGTTTCAGCAAGCTGGGTAGTGTCATCCGCATAACGCAGATTGTTGATAAATCGTCCACCAATCTTGACCCCACATTTCTCCTCATAAAAATATTTTTTAAAAAATAATGTGCCTGCTATTGTATTTGCATATTTAAAATACTATACATATTTTTCCTCAGGACTTAATATAAAGGAAAGTCACCAGTGAGTGAAAATGGTAGAACCATAGAAAAATTATAAATGAGCATTTTAATATATATTGTATTGATTCTAAACTTTTTTCATATACGTTTTTATATATTGTTTTAATTTTGTCTTTAATGGGTATTACTATTATTCCCAGTACTTTTCTCAATTTCACTATAGTCTCATCTGTCATATTTAGAGGCCCAAAAAATATAATGGTGTATATTATCTTTAAAATTATTACACAGTATCAATTTGCTTTATTCCTACTGTCTAAAAGACCCAAGAATAGCAGTTCTTGGTAAAAGGCATAATTTTTCTTTTAAAATTTACTCCCTTTCTTTCCAGACCTCTTAAGCCATGAAAATGCAGCAACGCTGAATGATGTAAAAACGCTGGTCCAGCAGCTGTATACCACACTGTGCATTGAGCAGCACCAGTTAAACAAGGAGAGGGAGCTTATTGAACGGTTAGAGGACCTCAAAGAGCAACTGGCTCCTCTGGAAAAGGTGAGAATTTCCAAGCTCTTCCCTCCTCTTTTTCCCCCAGAGCATATCTACTTCCTTTTAATCCTCCCAAGTTTTATGTGCTTGAGCTGTGTCAGTTAAACCTCTTAAGACCTTATGGAATTGAATGATGAAAAAGTTTCATTTAAAGCTAAGAAAGAATTTCTTTTTTTTTTTATTAATTTTAATGAAAATTTAGAGACTGGATTTCCATTCATTCATTATTGCACTTTTCCCCCCTGCCCATTCCTTCCCCCTACAATTCACTCTTCTCTTTAAAAAGTAAAAGAAAAATTCTTGTTATACAATCTCTCCAAAAAAAAATAATTTTTAAAGAAATAATTTGGAGCCTATCTGATAATAAAGTTTCAAAATCTAAATACACTACTCTTAACAATACTTACTGCCTTTAAGAGGGATATTGGAATACTTAATAACCAGTAAAGATTCTGAGTATAGTGGAATGCTTTTATCCAAATTAACAAGTAATATAATGGCAGCTAATTAAAAATCTAATATGCTATGGAAAAGTACTCATGATATATTATAAAAAAAATAAATTATAAAACTATATATGCTGTCATCTAGTTTTTAAGTATTCTGTCTAAATATACACACATTTATAAAGAAAATAAAGAACTAAAAGTCTGTTACTCATTTTTTAAAAAAAGGAAATATTCCATGGAGACAACAGATTAAATTAATTAAAAAAAAAAAAAAAAAAAACCCAAGACAGAATGGAGCAAAAGTGACCAAAATACTTAGAGTATCTTTTTAGGAAGAAATGCTATTGAAACTTCCTCATAAGGAATTCGAAAGAATGATAACTCAGTCCTTCAAAGGATTGGGAACAGGTTAAGAAAAATACACATAAAATGTAGATGAATTTAAAAACATAGCACAAGACCAAATAGATAATATAACTGGAAAATTAAAAGGCATGCCAAAGCAGTAAATATAAATTCAGCATATTAAGACTAAAATATCAGAAATAAATAACATATTGGAAGGGAACAAAAACCAGAATTAAAGAAATGGAAGTCAGACTTAGTGAGACGACAGATGAATCCTCAGTGCTGATGTGTTGAAAGGAGGAATGTAACATCTGTGTCCATAGAGATTGCAGCCTTGGAAACCTTTATGAGGTAGTTCTCTGCTTTCCTGTAGGTTTGCTGTGAATCAGAGTTGGCAAAATCAGGCAGCAAGGGGGATACAGGAGTATCTGGGGAATTTCTGCCAAATCCAGAGGTTAAGTAAATTATCCTGAAATTAAGGAAACTAACAACTTAATCCTTAATCCTGTTCTGCTCTTTAATATGCCCCTTGAGTAAAAACTGTTAGTAAGTTAAATTATATACCCACAGTGAAAGAATACTTGAACTTCTTTCCTTCCAAGTGGGTAGTCATGTGGCTAGCTGAAAGAGCTATTTTCAACCATTTCTAGAGTGAAACATAGAATACTTAATACGCTTTTAAAAAATCTATTCCTCTAAGATTTTATTTAGTGAGAATTACAGATACTATGTGGAAGATAAACTATATTTACTAGAATAGGGACTAACATGCATCTTGATTATGAGCTCTGCTTCTTTAATGAACATAGATGTTTAATTAGCTTTAAATTACTTCTATATCAGAATGTCTTGTTATTGATGTGTGATTTCCTTTTAGGTACGAATTGAGATTAGCAGGAAAGCTGAGAAAAGGACCACTTTGGTGCTATGGGGTGGGCTTGCCTACATGGCCACCCAGTTTGGCATTCTGGCCCGGCTTACCTGGTGGGAATATTCCTGGGACATCATGGAGCCAGTCACCTACTTCATCACCTATGGAAGTGCCATGGCGATGTATGCGTATTTCGTAATGACACGCCAGGTGAGAATATCTCTTCAGGTCACTCTTCATAAGATTGTAATGAATTTGTAAATATCGAATTAGTTTTCTTTTCTCTTAGCCTTTCAGACCAGTTCTCCTTAAGTATTTGTGTGTATATGTGTCTCCACATACTCTCATATCAGGCACTACATATTACAAATCAGACACAGGTGCCAGAGAGAGAGAGATGGAAATAAAACATGGCTGTGCCCCCATGTGTGCTCACAGATTATTGTTGTCATTAGGTGCTGTCGTATTGACAATGACTCATCACGACCCTTTGAACAACAGGCCCAAACCTTGCCCTGTCCTGTACCACCTTCATAATCTCCCACATGCTTGAGCTCTTCTTACAGTCACTATGTTAATCTGTCTCCTTGAGGGTGGGCCTCTCTTTCTTAGACCCTCCATCTTTTCCAGCATATTGTTTTTTTCCAAAGACATGTTCTGCCATCCTTCTTGTCTCTAAGGAGCATCTGGTTGTACTTTTTCCAGATTTATTTCTTCTTTGGGCAGTCCATGGTATATCCAGTACTCTTTGCCAGCACTACAATTCATCACTTCAGTTCTTCTTTGGTCTTCCTTATTCATTATCCAATTCAGATCCATAGGAAGCAACTGAAAAGACCACAGCTTAGATCAGGCACACCTTAGCCTTTATTTAAATTGACATGCTTGCTCTTTAGCACTTTGAAAAAGTCCTTGACAGCAGATTTCTCTACACTGCAACCCATCTTTTGATTTCTTGACTACTGCTACCATGAGTATGAGTGTTGATTGTGTATCCAAGTAAGATGAGATCCTTAAAACATTCAGTCTTTTCTCTGTCTGTCATAATGTTGCCTGTTGGTCCAGTGGTGAGAATTTTTGTTTTCTTGATGTTGAGATATAAACCATATGGAAAACTTTTATTTTCTTCACTTTCAGCAAGCAACACCGTGTCATCTACATAACATGGGTTGATAATGATTTTTGTCCTAATCATCATGCCACATTCCTCTTCATAGTAAAACACCTTCTCAAATTATTTGCTTCGCATACAGATTGAATAGGTGTAGAGAAAGATCCTCTTTCTGATGTATATACACAAAGTCTTAAACCTTTGGTCTTCTAGTAGTAACTATTTGCACTGTGTCTTTTCCAAATGTCTGTCAACTCCTTATGAATATGTTCTGTTTACAACAGACCAAATTATCCTTAAAAAAATGTGTTGAGTTTTCTCCACTTCATTCCTTACTCTTCATGTCATTAGTTCTCCTGGGAAAACTCTCTCTGTTGATCCTTACTGTTGTACTTCAAGGTTTACTTGAATGTTTATGTTTTGTGAGCCTTTGGCCAGTTCTTTCTGGCCAAATGTGAGCTCTTCCTCATCTGATTTCCAGAGTATAGAAGATCTGCTCCTTTTTTCACTTCTCCCTTGCTAACTGGAAAACCATAATCTATTAAGTAAAATAAAAATGTGCTGGAAAACATAATTATTTCTTATTTTGTAACAATTTCCTTGAATTGAAGAGTAATGCATTAGACTTGAGTACAGTACCAGCACTTTTTCTTGTTATATGGTGGGATCTTTATATTGTTGTCAGCTGCCATCAAGTTGACTATGACTCATATTGACTCTTTGAACAACAGATCTGAAACTTGCCCTATTCTGTATCATCCTCATCATCTCTAATATCCTTGAGCCCATTGCTCTAGTCACTATGTAGTCCATCCTGTGGAGGAACTTCCTGTCTTTCACTGACCCTGCACTTTTGCATGCATGATGTCTTTTGACAAGATCTGACCCCTAGTAACAACATGCCCCAAATATAAAGTAAGATGAAGTTTCGCCATCCTTGCCTCTAAGAAGCACCTTAGTTGCACTTCCCGTGTGACTAGTCAAAAGTTTCACTTCTGTAATCCCAAACATTCTTGCTGCCCCCAAGTGGCAAGTTTCAAAATAACAGTTGTGAACAGTTCATTCCCATATGAATGGGGGGGGAAATTACAAAATAAAATGTAACCATAGTTATGTTAAATATTTCTTTCCTTTACCAGTACCTATAGTTAACACCAATTGAGCAAAATTCTGCAAAGAGTTTGCAGGGACAAATGATAGAAATACAATAGGGCAGGAACACTAAGAAGAAAACGACAATATGGTCTAGAGTGGTTAGAAAAGAATCAACACATGAAAAAGGTTATTTTTCAAAAAGGATGATGGTACGTCAGAGCAGAGCACGGGAACACTGCATGGTTCAAAATTGGGAAGGGCATACACCAGGGATTCATCCTATCTCCATACCTTTTCAACCTGTATGCAGAACAGATCATCCGGGAGGCTGGGCTCTATGACGAGAAATATGGGGTCAAGATTGGTGGAAGATCTATCAACAATCTGCGTTATGCAGATGACACAACTCTGCTTGCTGAAATGGAAGAGGACCTGAAGCATCTGCTGCAGAGGGTCAAGGACTGCAGCCTGCAATATGGATTGAGGCTCAGTGTCAAGAAGACAAAGATTCTCACCACTGGGCCATTTGGAAGCATCAGGATGGATGGTGAAAAGATTGAGATTGTACACAGCTTTAGTTTGCTTGGCTGCTCAGTTAACACTCTTGGCACCAGTAGCCAGGAAATTAAAAGGCTCATTGCCATGGGAAAATCTGCTGTTAGGGACCTCTCCAAAGTACTGAAGAGCAGTGGTGTCTCTCTGGAGACTAAGGTGCATTTGATACAGGCCATGGCCTTCACAATCACTTGTTATGCATCAGAGAGTTGGACAATGACCAAAGAGGATAGAAGGAGAATTGATGCCTTTGAGCTATGGTGCTGGAGAAGAGTATTGAGAATACCATGGACTGCTAGGAAAATAAACAGATTCGTCCTGGAAAGGGTTAAACCAGTGGCTCCTTGGAGGCAAG